AACAAACCAAGTACTGCTTTGTGTTTTCATCTGCCTGTCTGGCCCCAGCTTCATCTCCAAATTTACTTACTTGTCTTCACATTAGATTCCATGCTTATTTGATTCTTGCCCAGGTCTCAGGCTAAGTCTGGGTTCTGGTTGCTTTTGATCACCTTGATGTTCTTAATTTCCGAAATGTTCTCTGACATCTTTTCTCTGAAGTATGTGTGTATTTGAAGACTAGAGCGTTAGAGGCTGCTGGATAATTACTTTAATAACAATAATTCAAAGGAAGTTACTTGATGCTTATTCAAGGATCTAAAATGAGTTGGTTCTGGCATAAGTTTGACCAAAAAGACATGGAGCTACCTGTTGCTTTCTCTGTTTTTTTTTTTTTTTTTTTTTTTTTTTTTTTGTTTTTTTTTTTTTTTTTGGTCTTTTCTGTTTTCAGAAGATGGGATACTGTAAAGAGTTATTAATTTATTAAATTATTACTTCCTTGCTCCTTCTTTGATTAAAATATTTTAATAAAACCTAAAGTTTGTTTTGGGGAATCAGTATGAGCTAACTCAAAAGGAAAAAGCTGTCAAAAAGCACCGTATTAGTTGAGAAAGAAAATGACCCTTGCTGGGATGTATCTTAGTTGTCTAATGCTTGCCTAGTATGTTTCAATCCCCAGTACTGAAGAAGAAAGAAAGAAAGAAAGAAAGAAAGAAAGAAAGAAAGAAAGAAAGAAAGAAAGAAAGAAGGAAAGAAAGAAGAAAGGAAAGAAAAGAAGAGAAAGAAGAAAGAAAAGAAGAGAAAGAAGAAAGAAAAGAAGAGAAAGAAAGAGAAAGAAGAGAAAGAAGAAAGAGAAGAAAGAAGAAAAGAAAGGAAAGAAAGGAAAGAAGAAAGAAGAAAAAGAGAAAGAAAGAAGAAAGAAAGAAGAAAATAAAGGAAAGAAAGAAAAAGAAGAAATAAGAAAGGAAAGAAAAGAGAAAGAAGAAAGAAAAAAGGAAGAAGAAAGAAAAAAGGAAGGAAGAAAAGAAAGAAAATGACCCTTAATTGAAAACTACCCAGCATAGCAGAGGTGGTTCTTTGGTATCAGAAAAAATTAGTGAAATTAAATGTAAAGAGGTCTTAGCACTGACCTCTCTAGAGAGGAAAAATTAAGTGGTGGTGCTTGGACAGGAAGCAGTAGTATGGTGGCTTGGAAAAGATGTCATTTAGGTCCTGGCTAAAGACGGAAGAAGCTTCCCTCCCATGGAAGTGGGATATTGACTACTTAGCCAGGGAACAGAATGGGGGTAAAACTAGAAATCACCTGATAAGAGTTGGCTTGAAAGGGCCACTAGTATATACAATTTAAGCTTTCAGGAAAGGAAGAATGACTGGCTCCAAGCGTAGAGAACACAACATATGACTTCCTGTTTCTCTAGCTCTTGCATTTTTCTTCGGTTTGAGCTGTTCCTCTCTTTCTCTGCAGGTGATGGAGATGGGAATTCTGCTTAGTTTTGCGGAATGGATAACCTATAGTAAGAATGGTATTTAATTTCCTTTCTGCCTCGTTATGTTTAAACAAACCAATTCTAGGTCCGTTCTTCATAAAATCCATAATGAAATTCTGAGCTTTAGAGACAGTACACAAGATGGAGAATGCTTTGGGCTGCAGAATTGCTGTAGGCAATCTTGATCTGCAGCCTTTCACAGCCACCCATCCTGAAAATGCCTTTGGCACAGAGAGCCTTGGGTGCTTGATTTTGGCTTCCTTTGTCTTTAAAGTCCCATCCCCCATCTACTCCAGCATGCCTTGGGATTCAAATGTAGATGGCATGCAGATTATTGGGAGAATAGGACTAGCAGAGGCTGCCTTAGCTACTGAGGGAGAAGGAAGGGACAAGAGAGGAGACCTCGAATTTTAAGTTTTCAGCCATTGTTCTCCAAAGGTGAAAAATGGCCGTGGTGCCAGATCTGAAGAGTTGTTCTCTCGTATTGGCTTGTGTGTTTCTGGAGAAGGGGTAAGATGGACTGTGTGAATCTCCTCCACTGGTTCCAGACAGGTAAGAGTTGAAGCTCATTGTCGTAAATGTGTGTTGTTAAGGGTCCATTGTCTCCGGTGTTGACCACTTCAATAACTCCCATAACCTTTTAAGGTTTGTGCTGTGCACGCTGCTCTGACCACTGTGTGTTATCTGCTTCGGTACCATTTTTCTGAAGAGTTTGCCAGACTGATTTCTTAATCCAGGTTTGGGTACTTCCACACCCAAACACGTGGTCTTGGTATCTCTAGTAAAAACTGCCCTATTTCATAAAGGTGGTATAAATTCAAAGCCACAAAGCGATCTTGGGCATATTTACTTTTACTGCAGGCACTGATAAGATGTTTATATTAAAAAGTGAAGAAGGAAAGCAACATTTGAAAGTAAGTTCAGCTGATGAGGCTGTGTGTGTCTGTGTAAAATAGCATTTAATTATCCAGTGGTTGTTTTAAACGGAAGGAAGCAAGGAGGTCAGGGAAGAGGGGTAAATGGACAGCTGAACATGTGGTCAGATTTTCGGTCACTTGTTGAGAACCTGAGTTACAGGTTCAGTTGTGGAAGGCAGTTGATGCGGAGCTGAGGAAGAATGGCTTGCTCCTGTTTTGGCAGTCTACCAGAGATTACACCTTCAACGTCGAGGACTAACCGTGCTTAGTCATAACTTAGGTCAAGTGTGAACTTTTCTGGGTTACTCCTCTCCGGCTCTTATCGCCCCCCGCCCCCAGTCTGTTTATTCCACCTCGGCGAAGACTTACTTTACTCTCTAGGTACTAGCTTGGCGTCTGAATAGGTTGTTGGGTCTCTCTCCATCCTATAGTCTCCTTCTTGGGCCACAGGATTAGGATTGAAAGGCTCTTCAGAGGTAATACATGGTGAAACACCTTGAAAATCATTAATAAATTCTGTCCAGAAAGTAGAAGTGATTAGTGTGAGCGTGGTAGGAATAGAAATGTGTCCACTCTTGTACACGGGTTTGAATGTGGGATGCTATCTGCTCATTGGATATCGAGGATTCCTGTTTTTCTTCAATTTCCCGGTATGTTTGGTCACCAGTTGAGCGCTGGACATGGTGTTAGTGGCCAACGGCTTTTGAGGTACCTTTGCGGAAAGTCCTAATTCTTAGCTTCGAGGAGTTTTAACAATGGTGTTGATGAATTACTAGGGCTTGAGGCGATCCCCCCCATGTAGCAAACAAAGGAAGTGCTAAGTGGGAAGGAGAAGTGCCGGAGGTTGGGACAGCATTGGCTGAGCGACCTGTGAAGGGCAGAGCCCGAGGCGCCTCATACAGTTGATGCGTTGGACCCCTTAATTTGTGGTTCTTGTTTAGGAATTTGATTATTCTTTCTTTGGCCACTGAAATTCCAGCTCATTGAATATCAATTTATTTCATACGTAGAGGGTGGGTATTTGGGGCAGAAAATTCAAGATTGAAGGTGAAGAATGGATAAACACTAAAATATACTGAGATAGCGCTGCAATGGAGCACTCTTTGAGTGCTTTGGGAGTCCCCGGAGAGAACACCAGGCTTTCGAGGTGACGGGGCTAGGAGTTTAAGGTTCAAGAGGGCTGTGCAGGCATTAGAGTCACAAGCGAGGGCACCTTCGCGAAGACTCTGGAGATTGCACTGCCGCTCAAGGAGCTGCCGTGTTTTTGTTTTTTTTCCCGGGTCTGGAAAAGGCAGGGACCTCGACGTCCGTGGCTGTTAGAATGCTGGTGTTGGGTTTAAGGAGGAAAACAGGTATGAGGTACCCGATATCCGGGAGATCGGTTAGGATGGGGCCCTGAGAACTGGGGTGGCATGGGAGAGAGAGAGAGAGCATTGGGAGCAGCGGGAAGTGATGCTCGCGTCCTGTACGGCTTGGGGAAGGCGGGGGTTGGGGGGTCCGCAATGCCCCGAGGGGACGTTCCATTGTTGCTGTTTTGGGAAGCTAGTCCTGTCGCCTCTTTCGCCTGCGACAGAGAACGTCCAGTTCCCTGTAGACGAGCCTTGCGCGCTCTACCCATCTCATCAATAACAGGAGCAAAGGCTAGCCCATTGCAGCTGACGGAGAGAGGGAGTGTTGTCTACCCGCTCCCCCACAAGGCGGGTCTCCAGTGACAGCTACGTTCTTTTAGAACGCAGACCTCCCGGAGTGCAAATTCGGTACACTCTTCTCCGCTCCCCTTTAGGGGAGATGGACACTTGGGAGGAACCCAAGGCCTGGAGGAGGGAAGCTGCGGGCAGAGCGAGACGGCCGCGCCCTCGCGCCGCCCTCCCCCGTGCCCAGATCCCACCCCGGCAGGAGGCCCAGCAGGCGACACGCGGCGGGGCGTCCGATCCTGGCTCCGGGTCTTGGCTGCGGCCGCGGGGGCGGCGGGCACGTGGCAGGGCGGGAGACTCCACCTGGCCACGCCGCTGGCCCCTAGCTGGCTGGCGGTTGTCCCCGGCCGGCGCCAGCTGTGGGCGCACGGAGGCACCCACTGTGCCCTCCCGCTTTACCGGCGCTAACCGAGCGGCCGCTGCCGTCGGGTCGCGACTCCAGACGCGAGCCCACCGGCCCGCCAGGGTTCTTGCTCAACTTCGGGTCGGGTTACCTGCCCCAGCGGGCACAGTCACCGTTCTCCACGACCCTCGTGTGCCTCCCGGTCCCGCCCTCTGCCGGGCAACCAGCGCCCACGTCCAGCCGGAGCCGGTGGGCGGTGCCGCGGCCACGCCGACCCGGAGGAGCGGGACTTGGGCAACTCGGAGCCCCGCCCACAGCCTCTGGCTCCGCCCACAGCCAGCCGCGACCCCGCCCACCTCGCCCGACTCCTCCCCTTCCTGCCGGCTCGCTCCCTGCTGCCCGACCGCCCTAGCCCAGGCCCGGAACGGAGTCCTTGCTCCCCTCGGCCGCTCCGCCCCGCCGCCTCCCGCCCCTCCCGCGAGGGCGGCCCGAAAACCCGGAGCGCGGGAGCCTTGCTCCGCCGGGCCGGGCGGCAGCACTGGGCATGCTCAGTAGCTGGGGCAGGTTTTTCGGTCGCAAGTAGGAAGCTTTTTGCACTACACCGGAGACCGGGAGCCGCGGATCCCGCCGCACCGCCCGCGCCGCCGCCGCCCCCGCCCCAGCCCGTCCGGCCCCTGGCGGGCGCGATGAACCCGCGCCTGAGCCTCAGCCGGCCCGCCGGGCACTGAGCGCGGGCGCCCAGGGCGCGTTGCGCAGCTGCTCCTGCGCACAACCCCGCTGCCGCCGGCCCGCACCGGCCGCCCGGAGCGAGAGGCTGGTCCGTGCACTGCGCCCGGCGCCGGCCGCGGAGCAGGAAGCGCAGGCCACGCAGGGAACCAACTGGAACAAAGTGTCTGCCGCCGGGTGCCGCGCCCCGACCCCGCCGCGCCCCTGCGCCGCCCACCATGGCCTCCGAGGAGCTGTACGAGGTACTCCCCTCCCCCCAGCGGCGCCCCCGGCCCGCGAGCCTCCGTGCCCGGTTTGCTGGACGGGAAGCGTGCGCCAGCCCCCCGAGCTAGCGGCGACCGGCGGGGCCGGCGGGCGGGGCGCTGGAGTTGCCGGGCCGGGGGGAAGTGGCGCTGACACGAGCGACTTGCTCAGACTCAGCCCAAAGTGCTGCTGGCGAGGGGAGCCCGTGCCTGAGCGCGGCAGGGTCCGTGGGCGGCGCGGGGGTGTTTTTCCTGCCCGTTCGCTAGAGCCCGGTGGACAGGGTGACGCCTCGCGGGGGGCCCGTGTGGCTGTCTCCGCTCGGGTACTAGCCAGAGGGATGCAAAATATCGCACCGACAATGCTGAACGTTGACCACATGCTTTAATTAGGTTAGCATTGTGGCCGGAGCCAGGAAATTGAACTTAAACGCCGATGCGCTGTCGTCGCAGCCTTGCGAGTAGGAGAGGGTGCTTAAAGAGTCGAGAACGATGAGTTATGGGTGATGGGTCTGCCAGCTTTAACTTGAAGTTTGAGAGTTATCGGTCTGGCTCTTGGACGTATTCTGAATGTCTCCACGTAACTTCTTGAGGTATTTCAAAGTGGACTTCCTGGGAGTGCGGAAGGGTAAAGGCGGTGCCTTTGGAATAAGTGGTTCTCTGATTTCACATTATTTATAAATTAATCTTTTTAAGAGACTTAAAACTTTCCGGATTCTATCTATACTCACCTTTACGATGCCTTTAGGGACTTGAATGTTTAGGGATTGAAATGAGCATCTGTAACTACAGCCTTATGTTATCCTTTGAAGGTGTGTTTCCTTGAGTGTGTATTACTGCTTTTGGCATGAGCTGAAGCTTTGTTGACAGCAGTGAGAAGCTTGTAGCAACTTTGTTTGTTTTGTTGTTTTAAAAAAAAAATTGTTCACAAAAGTCCTTAGAAGCAGACTACCTTCTGTAGACTAAGGGGAAGGTTGTTGGGTGCCCTTGATTTGTGCTTCAGTGTTCTGTACCTATCCCTGAAAATTGTCTCTGCCTTTCAACCATTTTACACATTAGCAGTCCCCTGGTGTATTCAAGATGCTGTCTTAGGTCACTGGGGCATAGAAAGAGAAAACTTCCTGCTCCCAAGAAGCTTTCTTCCAGGAATGAATGTGTCTTAGTCGGAATCAGCACAGTAAGAGGCTAGGATGAAGGCAAGATGTCTCACTGACCAAGTCTTGGAAAGTACAGAAAGTATTTAGTGTGAACAAGGTGTGGGGATTTACTTTCCACATTAGGTCATTCTTTGGTGGCTTACTCTTTCGTGTTCGCTGTTGAGTTTCTTTTTTGGGGGGAGGGGGGAGTTCTAAATACCAGCCCCATTGGTATAGGAAAGAGCACACTGATCATTGATTTATGAATTAGTAAAGTTACTTTCTGTGTTGATTCTATAGCTTCCTGTTGGCTACTCACCATTTTTATGACAGAAGTCACTTATAAATAACGTTTTATACTCGGTTTGTGTTCCTTCAGGGTGATTTGGAATGCCTGTGGCATGGGGGTTTCATAGGGAGAGATGGAGGTATGTGATGTGTGATGCCATCAAGAAGTATCTCTTGGGGAACAGATAAGGACATTGCAATTGTAGTGCACCTGCTCAATGGAAGTTTTGAGTCTTGGTTTTTCCTTAGTTTGTTTTGAGGGGAAAAATAACAGATGTGATTGAAGTGATGAAAGTAATGTAGGTGCTTCCTGGTTAGTATCTTTTAGGCTTGCTTCTAAGTTCTTGACTTGGTGGAGACATTGCGATTGTATTACAATTAAAAGGTGATGTTGAAGCAGGCATGGTGGCACACCTTTAGTCTCAGCACTCTGGAGGCAGAGGCATGGGAATCTCTGAGTTCGAGGCCAGCCGTAGTCTGGTCTATAGCGCTAATTCCAGGTCAGCCAAAGTTACTCAAAGAAACCCTGTCTCTAAAAAGCCAAAAAACAAAAGTTGATGTTGAGGTAGCACACCTATCATCTCGGGGAGGCTGAGGCAGGAGGCTCAGGATGCATAGGAGCCTGGGATGCATAGTGAGCCTCTGTCTCCAACGAACAAACTAAGGGCTAGTGCCAGGGGTCAGCAGGTGAGAGCTCTTGCCACCAAACATCACTTCCAGAGTTTGGTCAGTGTCACCAACGTGGTGAAGGGAGAGAACTGACTCCTGTAGATTGTCACTTGGAGCCCACACACATAAACACTTGTATCAAATAAAGAAGTACATTTAAAGAAAAAAGGGGGAAAGAAAAGTCGTGTTTGAAGTTTTGCATAGTGGCCAAGAGTCTGGATCGAGAGTCAAATAGCTTGTTTCTGAGTTCCAGCTGTCATATTGAGCGAATTAGCCATGAAAGCCGTTTCCTCATCTGTGAAGATGGGATCTGTGCTTCCCTTGTAGAGTTGTGAGGCTTATATGAGAAAATACATAAAGCACACCCCTACAGCAAGCGTGTGGAAAGGGATACTCAGCTCTGTTCTGTAACTGATGTCAAGTGCCCAGTCCTGTTTTTGTTTAAAGAGATACAGCTTGCTGGTGGAGGCCTTATTTGTGCAGCAGGAGTGATACCCAGCTGTAGATGAACTTTGTGGTCTGGCTGGCTGGGCGGAACACCTTGTGCTTCGGAGGCCAGGTCAAGGGATTAAGAGTTTTGTCATGTCTTTTCTGGTTGTTCCTAAATTGAAATGTTCTGTGCCTGAGGCTCTGTACTGGGAAGTCTTGCCCTTAACTACCTGCTTTGATGGAGGATGGGTTTTAGAGCTTCACGAACTGCAGTGGGTTGTCTTAGCTTGCTAAGCTGTAGTTTTCTCACTTCCGTCTTCTCCAACACTTAGCCTTGAACCTTGAATATAGTAGCACATCCTTAGTATGACTATGTGACTGTTGGAACTATGTTTTGTGGATGAAAAACGGGAACAATCTGCAGTAGGGTAGGGCATTCTTCCAGAGTAGAACATCAGTCTTCCAGAATCCCAGGAGCTTGTTAGTTGAAAGGCTAGAATAGACTGAATCTCTGTCTGTGTCTCCAGCAGCTAAAGCTGGTTCAGAGTCTCTTCTCTCCTTCAAGCTAAAGGTTCCTAGCATTGAATTCAGGCTTGCCTTCCAATGAGCCTTCTTGATGGTACACAGTCTATTTTTGATGATGCATACATGTATGAGAGACATAAACACAAACATACATACATACATACATACATACATACATATATATATATATATATATAGCTAGCATGTGTGTGCACACAGATTATATTTCTGTATGATTGCTCAGTTTCATTAATGAAGTAGTATTTTTTTAAAACATGCATTTAAAGATTATTTTTAAGAAACATAGGTTTCTTAAAGACTAGACATCTTTTGTTTTAAAAGTTTTACAATTTTAAAAATTGTTTATAGAGTCAGGCGTGGTGGTGCACACCTTTAATCCCAGCACTCAAGAGGTGGAAGCAGGTGAGTCTGAGGCCAGCCTGGTCTACAAAGTAAGTTCTGGATGGACAAGGCTACACAGGGAAACCCTATCTCCGTGGGGAAAATGTATAGCTGTATGTATTTGTCATGTACAACGTAATGTATTGATATGTGTGCATTGTGCAGTCCCCTAAATATGGCGTCTCCCTTAGTTATTTTTGTGATGGGAATAGCACCCGTTGAACATTTTCAGTAACACAGTTACTCACCTTCCACAGCCACCATTGCTGTAAGGTAGACTCTTGAAGACATTCCTTCTGTTTTACTGTCCCAACACTTCCCCCCAGCCTATTCTCCCTCAACTAGCTTGTGACTACCCATGGTCTGTCTGTCTGTCCTTGGCTTACTTCACGTGTGGCTTCCATTTTTATCAGCGTCACAAATGACAGGAACTTCTTATTGGTGGAGTATATACTGTGTACATATATACTGTACGCTCTCCATTCTTTGTTTGATGAACACAGAGTGTAGGTGCTTCTTCATCCTTTTTTTTTTTTTTATCACCTGGAAGACCTCATTCTCATTTTTTGAGGACCTCATGTAAGAGTTTTACTACAGGGCTTGTACTAATGTATATTCTACCATCACTGTGAAGTCTGCCTCTTCCATGTGCCCTTGTCAGTGGCTGTCTTTTGTTTTTCATAGTCACTCGAACAGAAGGTGCCAGCTTGTGGTTTTTAAGAATTGATTATTGTATATTTGAGGATATGGGGGGGGGGGTCAGAGAACAGCTTTGTGGCGTGGATCCTCTTCCTTCCAGGGATCAAATCCATGTTGCCATGCTTGTGTGGCACTTTATTTGCCCCCTGAGTCATTTTACTGGTCCTTATTAGGGTTTTGCATTTTTCCTCACCGTTGATGGTGAATGTTTTTAATGTGTTTGTTAGCTACTTGTGTGTCTTTTAAGAAGTGTTTATTCAGATCTTTAGCCTGTTTTTGTTGTTGTTGCTGCCATTGTGTTTTCCTGCTATTGTGCTGGATGCTTCATGTATTTTGGTTATTAACTTTTTATCAGATGTAAGTTTTGCAAGTGTTTTCTTCCATTCTATAGGCTGCTCGTTCTATTTTTGCTTTTTAGTCAGTTATTGCCTAGAACAGTGTCTTTGCGCTTGGAGTCCTAGACTTATTTGAGTCTCTTGTCCATGTGAGTTGGTATCTTTGTACATAAAGAAAGGGAAGGGTCAGATTCCCCTCTTCTGCATGTGACCATCAGTTTTGTCCACGTCACTTATTAAAGAAACTATCCTTTGGTCTTAGCTCCTTTGTTGGCAGGGTTGTTGTAAAATAGTTTGTCAACAATTATAAGTGTTTGGATTTTTTTTCTAGGCTTTCCATTGTGTTCAGTTGGCCTGTGAGTCTGGTTTTTGTTGTTGTTTTTTTTTTAATGCCAGACTGTGCACTTCTATTTATGATAACTTCTTAGTATATTTTGAAGTCAGTATGATGCCTCTAGGTTTTGTTTTGTTTTGTTTTTTTTCTAACTCAAAATTGCTTTGGCTGTTTGGGAATTTTTTA